AATATAATAAAAATGTATTTGATGGTATTCTACAAATAATTTTGATTTATGAAAATAATCATAATTTTCTAAATAAAAAATGATCATTTAATTTCCTAAGTTGATTTATTTATGCAGATTAATTCCCCAACTTTTAGTTTGGCAAATTAATTCCTCTAGTTTATGTTGACCTTGCAAAATTAAACTGAGAAAAGTCAATGGTAACATTTTCGTTTCTTCATTAACGTTGACTTTTCTCATGCCTAAATTTGCGAAGTCAATACTAAGTTGAGGATTTAATCTGCAAACATGATAGTTGGGAAATAAATTTACCGATTGCAAATACTTGAGAAATTAAATGAGCAATTTCTCTGCTCTTATTAGGTTTTGATTTCTTCTCTCTAGATTGGTCTATGCCCAACATGTTCTCACGAACCACATATCTAAAACTATTAAAAGAAAATCATTTTAATAAATGTTCAAAAGCTACCATGATATTTACAATATATGCCATTGTATTTACTAGAAAATGTTATAATTTTATTAAGGGTATTTTAGTCTTATCATTTTTGCCATAATATGAATGACCATTGTAACTCTAATACACTACCACATATATGATTAATTGGTTTAATCTATTAACCAAACAAATAGTATACTGAACTTAGACAAAAATATTTTTAAAAAATCTGAGATTTGATTAAATTTTGAAAAATTATTGTTAGGAATTTTAAGATCATTAGTAAAAGTTTCAAGCCATTTGAAAATTTTAAAAAAGTGAGATTTTTTATTCTAACTTACCAAAATAAATTAAAAACAAATTACAATAATTTTTTATTGAAGAGAACATTTCAGATAAATATATTTTTAAAAAATCTAAGATTCAAATAAATTTTGCAAAATTTGTTAGAAATCTTAAGATCATTAGTTAAAAATTTAGGATATAGATAAAAACACAGAATTTAGGAATTTATAAACGTATGTCTGCTTCAGTTTTTTTCACGAGGTTGTATTGTTAAGTGGATATCTAAACTATTAAAAGGAAATCATTCTTAATAAATGTTCAAAAGCTACCATGATATTTACAATATATACCATTGCATTTACTAGAAAATGTTATAATTTTAGTAAGGATATTTTAGTCTTATCATTTTTGCCATAATATGAATGACCATTGTAACTCTAATACACTACCACACATATGATTAATTGGTTTAATCTATTAACCAAACAAATAGTATATTAAACTAAGACAAAAATATTTTTAAAAAATCTGAGATTTGATTAAATTTTGAAAAATTATTATTAGGAATTTTAAGATCATTAATAAAAGTTTCAAGCCATATAAAAATTTTAAAAAGTGAGATTTTTTATTCTAACTTACCAAAATAAATTAAAAACAAATTACAATAATTTTTTATTGAAGAGAACATTTCAGATAAATATATTTTTAAAAAGACTAAGATTCAAATAAATTTTGCAAAATTTGTTAGAAATCTTAAGATCATTAGTAAAAAATTTAGGACATAGAAAAAAACACAGAATTTAGGAATTTATAAATGTATATCTGCTTCAGTTTTTTTCACGAGGTTGTATTGTTAAGCGGATATCTAAACTATTAAAAGAGAATCAATGTTCAAAAGCTAATATGGTATTTACAATATATGCCATTGCATTTACTAGAAAATGTTATAATTTTATTAAGAGTTTTTTTGTCTTATCATTTTTGCCATAATATGAATGACCATTGTAATTCTAATGTACTTTCACACATATGATTAATTGGTTTAATCTATTAACCAAAAAAATAGTACATTAAACTAAGACAAATATATTTTTAAAAAAATCTGAGATTTGAGTAAATTTTGCAAAATTATTGTTAGAAATTTTAAGATCATTAGTAAAAGTTTCAAGCCATTTGAAAATTTTAAAAAGTGAGATTTTTTATTCTAAATTACCAAAATAAATTAAAAACAAAATACATGAATTTTTTTTATTGCAAAGAACATTTCAGATTAATATATTGTAAAAAAATTTAAGATTCAAATAAATTTTTCAAAATTTGTTAGAAATCTTAAGATCATTAGTAAAAAAATTAGGACATAGATAAAAACACAGAATTTATGAATTTATAAATGTATATCTGCTTCAGTTTTTTTTTTCACGAGGCTGTATTGTTAAGTGTAATTTAGATTAACAATTTTGATTTAAACGATACTAACATAACTGAGAAACAAGAGTTTAGAGTTCATTCCGGAGATAGCTCGTGAATCGTGAAAAAGAAAGAGCTTGATATCAGATTTTACAGATCACATTTACGGGTCATATTTTTTCTGAGTCAGATTGGAATTAGTTTCTCTTTTGATTTTTGCGGGTTTAGTCTCTTAATTTTAATTTATAGGTATAATCCATAAAATTTAATTTTACATTAGAAATAGATAGATAAGTATTACTTTTAATAAATGTTCTATAGAATACTTATCTGCCTATCAATTCTCAGAAAATTAGTCCATTTTACTTCTACTTCTTCAAACCATAAAATTAAAATTTATGCACATGTGTTTTCAAATATTGTTAATTTATCTATTTTTTTATTTATGGGCAGATCATTATTCATATAATTAGAAAATCAAAATTTCATTTTAAAAATAAAAAATTAGAATTAATATAATATTTGGCTAATAATCGGAAATTTAGAAAATATACCAACTAACTAGAAAAAAAAACCAATCAATATCGACCAAACTTAATAATACCTTATATATATGCTTTTGGATAGTCATTGTTCAACTTTTATTTATTTGTCCATATTGTGACTTTACAGAAATATACATTTCTAAATAAAGAGACGAATTAAATTCAAAATTTAAAATTATCAATACATCTCAAATTTTGCACAAATATATTTTTCTAATTATAAACAAAATTTATCATTGACGGGTTAGAATCATGACTTTAAATTATTAACACATTTTAAACTGTATACAAATATATTTTTCCATACAAAAAATTGTTACAGGTGAGTTAGAATCTAAACTTAAAATTATCAACACATCTCAAACCTTATAACTATATATTTTTTCTTACAAAAAATGACTACATGCGGGTTGGAATTTAAACTTAAAATCATTATCACATCTCAAAATATTAAAAAGATAATAATATAATAAAATATTACAATGCACGGCAAATACTAAAAACAGTAAATTTATACTTATTATCCATGACTGATGGCAAAAGACTCAAACAAGATAAATATAAAAACTTTTTTTATAGATGATAAGCAACTCAAAACTATCAAACAATTTTTTCATTAATGGTTAATGGGTTAATGTGTTAAAAATTAAGCTATAAATAATAAATACCAACAATTAAAATATAAAGAAAACCTGCATTAAAAAACTAAAATAAATGAAGAATGAACAATGTATTATGATATATAGGTTATAATCTATGTTAATCTATATACAAAAAATATTCAATTTTTTAGTCTTCATAAATAAAATGAAATAAAACAAAATAAAAATCTAAACTAATACAAATGGATTAGAATTTAAATATAAAATTTAGAAAAAATACAAAATATATCCCACACAAATTGAATGAGTTGTTGTATTAACGACAAAAAATATTTTCGAATGGAGAATTTTTTTTTTAAAAAAAAAACTCCATGCATAGCACAAATCTAAAATTTAAAAAAAAAATTTGGTGACTGAATCGAAATGTTAGGGATTGATTTGAGAGGAAACTTTCTCAATTTCAGACAAAAATGATTCATTTTATTGTCTAAAAAAATAGAAAGATTTTAAGCTAAATCAAATCATTTTCATTTGGACCATAATTTTGGATTTGATAACATAAGCCAATTTTTGATGTAGCCTAAAAATATTTTGTAAAAAGAAACTCGTGCAAAGTGCGCATGTCCAAAATATAGTGCACCTTTAATCACACAGCATAACCAAAGTACAGACGAAAAACTATTCATTTACAGTCAGTTAATGTTCCCGCCAAATCCTATGGATTACTAAATTTAAACTTGATTTTTGGATTAAGTTTTACTATGAGTCAGTGATTAACCACACTCGCCAAAGTTACTCCCGGAACAATCAAGAATCATGTTAGCACTTTAAATTTTTTCTTTAAAAAACTATGGAGTATATATATATATATATATATATATATATTTATATTTATAATTCATAGAATTCCAGAGTTGAGAAATAGAATAATTTCTGGAGAAGATGCAGTTCATACATTATATATATATATATATATATTTATATTTATAATTCATAGAATTCCAGAGTTGAGAAATAGAATAATTTCTGGAGAAGATGCAGTTCATACATAGATTTTTTAAAAAATATTTAAATAAGCCGTTTATATTTAAAAAATCTAATGAAGACGATAGAATTGACCGTTTATATTTAACATAAAAACTATAGTTAAAATCTTATAAAAAAACTAATTTCAAACAAACAATTTAAATTTATAAATGGTCTATAAGAAAATGAAAAAAAAAATAATAACAAAAAATTTCTAGTTGAAAAATAGCCTTCTTTACATTTTTGCTTGAAAAATCATTCATTAAATTCACATAATAGAGTTTTTTTAACCAAAACTGTCTAAATTGATAACAAAATCAGCCCATTTAATTTTTCTTGGGACATCGTAGATTGCAAATAGTTCTTAGCAAATTTTAATTTAAAATTTTATTTATATGTAAATATTAATAAATAACCCTAAAAATTTTGCTGCCCTAATCCTTAGCTTCAGCTGCTTAACCTCATGCACCCCGAAATAGCCTTCACTATCTGCACGGTAAGATTTGGGTGATCGACGACGAAACCCTCGAACTCAAGAGACCTACAAATCGTTCTTTTATTGGCTTTGATAACTCTCAAGGCAGCATCGCTGAGGGCTTTATCAAAAGGGATTTCAGCGAGCGGGAGAACTCTAAGAGCATTCGAAGAGTTAAGAGTTGCTAGAAATCGTGGTTTTATTGGTTATGATGACAAAAGCTACAAGTAGCAAATAGCCTTCAGTATCTCCACGGTAAGATCTGGGTGATCGACGATGAAATCCTTCAACTCAGTAGACCTAGAAATAGCGTGTCTATCGCTTTTGACAGCTGTGATGGCGGCATCACAGAGGGCTTTATCAAAAGGGATTTCGGAGAGCGCGAGAACTCCAAGAGCATTCAAATGGTTAAGAGTTGCTATAAGCTCAATTCTGCATAGGTCACGCAGATGCGGAATCTCATATTTGTCGGCTGCACGATAGAGTGACCTAACGTGTTGCTTCGCCTTCTCTGAAAGAATAGAGCCGTCGCTGTAGATGAACTCAACGAAAGCTTCTAACTCTTCATGTCTCAGCTCCGAGAGAGTGATTGCCTCCAGCCTGGACGAATCCTTGCATTCGTCTGACTCAAACATCTTCTTAAACACCTCTGATCTTGCAGACTAGAAAATTCCACATATATTTAATGTAAAGAACATTAATAATGAAATCATTTCACGTAAGAGTGTAAATCAGATAATAATTAACAGAAAAGGGAGTAGAAGAAGAAGTAGTCACAACCAGAAGAAGCTTATGGGCAGAGATAGCTGCCTCATCATCACTGTCACATGCCTTTAACCGCACATCGGCTTGCTGTTCTTTAAAAATCTTTACTATTCCACCCCAGAAAAGCTCTTTGTTTGTTTGTGTCGCCATAGCTTTTATCTTATGACTTAGATTTGATCTGCCAAACCTTTGTAGCAAGGTTATATATACTGTATATAGAGCCTAGATCTAGACGGTCAAAATTCCTCTTTTACTTTTACTTTCGTTTTCCTAGGCTTTTGGAAATGATGGAGACATTGATATTCTAAAATTCCTAAATTATTTGCGCTCTTCCATTGGTAATTTATTTTTATTAAACAAAACAGATGTTACAGAGTATGTAAAAGTTTATAGTAATCTCATCACATATTTTGATGTATATACACATTCTAATAATATGTAAAAGTTAAAGTAATCTCATCACATATTATTGTTTATTTATAAATATGCATTGACCGTTTTTTTTTTTTTTTTTTTTTTGCTTTTTTTTTTGGTCAAAATACTTTTGAATGTTGTTAACTGGTGTGTAAAATATACGTAATCCCTGCACTCTGAAACGTCATATTTCCTAAAGATGTTGCAGCATATGAACGGATGGGGATATGTACTTTGAAATTGTTGCATTCCTTTATACGTAGACTTCCAATATTATTGGTACACTAAATAAATGGAAATGATTGCTTCCCAAGTTATCTCCAGTAACCAAACATTACCATTTCTTTGTAAACGCATCTTCTATTTCATCCATTAAATAGCTTCGCCACGATTCAATACGATAGAAATTAATAAGTGGAATCAGGCCTCGACGGTTTATCCGCTGCCTTGATTGCGTCTTCAACAAGTATACTGCAAAGCAGGTGTAGTAAAAACTTTATAAATTAATAGATTTGATAAATTTATAAATTCTTTTCTAGTATAAATTAATAACCCAAATTTCGCTCACAAGCAGTGTTTAATTGTTTTCTTTTCACCGCCGTTGTGCCAAAGTTACCTTTTCTCCAATTACAAATCGCCGGTTGAAATCTCTCTAATCGTCGATTTTGCGGCGCTACACTGATTTCAATCTGGAATAATTATCGGAGACCTGTTTTTTTCGGAGAAGACGGTGAACGCGGACTCGGAAAAACCCACCGGAAAAGTATCGATTTTCGCTCGCTTTAAGCAGTATTCGTAGATGGCTTTTAGAGGAGGAAGACGAGGAAAAGGACGAGGAAAACGAGGTTATGGTTTTGACAAGCCCGAGCCTTTTGTGATTTTCCCTGTAAGTCCAATTTTGTGTGTTTTAGGGTTTTTGTTCCCCCCAGAAATATATTGATTGTGCTTAAGATGATCCTCTTCGATAGCAGATTCTGTGTGTTGTGTGCAGGAAACTACTTTACCCGATCCGAAACCTATCTCAAACGACTCGAAATTACTTTCGAGCTACTTTGGTTTTCAGAAGTTTTGGAGAAACTCGCCTTATCATCTAGGCGATGGTGTTTCAAAGCAAGGTAATAATCTTTAAAGCTTTGATTTTTTTGGTCTCTCAAAGTTTTATGTATTTTTCTTTTCTGTGATTATCAGAGAGTGAGAGTTTAGACATTGAGAGGTTTTCAGACGCGTTGAAGCCGAAGAAGAAGCCTAATAAGAGTGGTTCCTCTTTTTACGATTTTCTTCTTCTTAGACCTGATAACTTCCCTAAAGAACTTCTTGGAGGTATTCAATAATCATCTCAACACATCTTGTTTGTTTAGATTCATCTTGTAGTCACTGAGATTGCTGATTATATGCAATATCAGGTACTCGAAGAGGGCCTGTGAAGAGAGCAAAATGGACTCAAGAAATAGGTACATTGTTTTACTAGTTTCTAGTTTTAGCAAACAATGTTACAAGAGAACTCAAGCTTGTGTTCAATTTGGCAGATTTGAAGGATGTGTTTCAAAAGCTTGAAGACAAATATAGGTAACAAAGAGACATACAGTATTATTGTTCAATAGTATTTATAAACCACTAAAAAGGAGCAAAGTCACATTTTGGATTATTGTTTGGTTAGCCTGAAGAGAATGAAGAAGAAGAAGAAGAAGAAGAAGACAAGGAAGAGAATGAAGAAGGAGAAGACAAGAAAGAGAATGAAGAAGGAGAAGACAAGGAAGAGAATGAAGATGGTGAAGAAGTTGAGGAATCAGAGGGAGAAGAATTGGATAACGGAGACTATGATCAGGTTCTGTTTTTATATTCTAATTAATGGTGAAACCCAACCTGTGAATCTTTCTTATGAAGTTTAGTTAACACTTTTTTGTTCTTTTATGTTATATATGTAGAATCAAGACTTTGATGATGATGATGATGACGATTATAACCAGGCGGCTGATGGTGATTGTAAGCATCATCTTCTCTCTCTCTGTCTCTTTACGACGATTATATACTTCCAAACGTAGAAATAACTTGCTTTCTTTCTCTCGTTTTTTTCTGCCAATAGATGAAGAAGTGTATTAAAGCTGCTTCTTCAACTTCTTCTTCCCAAAAGTATCAAGTTTTGCAGACAAGAGAAGCTAGGGCATTTTCCGAGCTCCAGCCAAAGGTGTATATACTCAATTGTGTCTTCAGTTAAACTCAATTATGTTTTTATGTTAAAGGGATTAAGTTTTCTTTCTGCACACAACACAATGCACGATTGGTGCCAGTATTTAAAAAAAAAAACATTTTAACTCCAAACTAATTTTCTCAATTTTCACAGTCAGAACTCAAAGTGAAAGCAAGAGAACTCTCAGGAACTTAAAATGACACAACGATTACAGTCAGTTAATGTTCCCGCCAAAATCCGACGGCATCATAATTCCGTAATCACAACAGCCTTAATATTGGATTATTAAAAATCAAACTTGGTTTTTGGGTCAAGTTTATTTATGAGTCATTGATCAAATTAACCACACTTGGACCAGACCCTACGTGCACTTTTGTCCATGAACAATCAAATATACTGATTAACAATTAATGTACGATGTTGTAGACATTATGATAATAAAAAAATGAAAAAGGTGCTTATAGTTCACTGAGGAAGAAGAAGATTTCGCAGTTGGGTCAAGTCAACACCAAATATATGTAACATCCTCAGATGGCGTAATTAAAAGAAGTTAACATTACTTATACTTGAAAACTCTTCTTCTATCGACTTGATAGCGTCTTCTTCAAGAATATTGCAATGTAGCAGGTTCACAGGTGGCAATTAGATATCAACATTAAGGAGACGTTAGGATAATTCTTATCGAGCGATCCAACGTTTAGGGAATTCTACAAATCGCCATATGTTAATGCAATATCTCATCCAACGTTTGATAGTCGAAATCATATACTATAATTAAGTATACGGACAGTCATAAGGACCGTATATGGAGGCACTTGTAAATGTGGGTACCTCTTCACCTTCTTAAATCATTAACTCGCAAAAAATTTCTACTTTAAAAAGCTTCCTCACGAGCCCTTACTTTTTTTCGGTCAACATTTGTCTTTAGGATGCTTACTTTTTTTTCGGTCAACATTTGTTTTACTTGCTGGAGAAGGAATCTTTTGATTTTTTTTGTAAGTACTTGTATCGTTTGTTTATGTTTCCATATGTGGGAAAGAGATTTTATTAAATTGAAACGGATCAAAAAAAACTGAAACAACTTTTGTATAGATTTGCAAGCTTGAGAAGGAAGCCAAATCCCATGAAAATGATAATACGGAGCTTAACTAAAGGTTTAATGATAAGAACAGTAACAACAAGGAAGAGGACAGCGAAGACACTTGGCCGAAATAGCCTTCACTATCTGCACGGTAAGATTTGGGTGATCGAAGACGAAACCCTCGAACTCCGTGGAGGTAGAAATCATGCTTTTATTGATTTTTATGACTTTGAGCGCGGCATCGCTGAGGGCTTGGTCGAGAGGGATTTCAGCGAGCGTAAGAACTCTAAGAGCATCCGAAGAGTCAAGAGTTGCTATAAGTTCATTTCTGCATAGGCCACGCAGATGCGGAATCTCATATTTGTCGGCTGCACGATAGAGTGACCTAACGTGTTGCTTCGCCTTCTCTGAAAGAATAGAGCCGTCGCTGTAGATGAACTCAACGAAAGCTTCTAACTCTTCATGTCTCAGCTCCGAGAGAGTGATTGTCTCCAGCCTAGACGAAGCCTTGCATTGGTCTGATTCAAACATCTTCTTAAACACCTCTGATCTTGCAGACTATGTCCAAGGAAATATCATTAACAATTTACAATTCTATCATTTCATGTGAGGGCATATCTAGGATTTGTTTTTTTGACTGAATCGATAATTATAAAAAGTAAAAGGAGTGGAAGAAGAAAGAAGTCAATACCAGAATAAGCTTATGGGCAGAGATAGCTGCCTTTTTACGACTGTCACATGGCTTTAGCCTTACATCGGCTTTTTGTTCTTTCAAAACACTTAAACATCCACTCAAGAAGAGCTCTTTATTTGGGGTTGTTTGTGTCCCCATTAGCTATATCATATATAATTAACCTGGATTTGATCTACCATTCGAATTCGATTGTAGGTTATATATTTGCGAGGGCCTTAATTAGTCGGTCAAAATTTATTGAAATTCCTAATCTTCTGTTGGCAATTTTATTAAACAAAACAGAAGTATCAGAAAATGACTACACTTAGCAAGTGGAAAAGAAAAGAATAAGATTAATCAGCTGTAATTTTGGAAAGAAGAATTTGTTTGACATGATTTATTTTAAGGAAAAAAGGTGGCCTGGCCCCTAATTGGTATCTATGCAGCTTGAAAATTCCCTGGCGGTGAGACAGTTCCTCGCAGTCGTCAAGTGAATTTAGGCTGTAAACTAAATCCCTGCAGTACAAAACTTGAATCTCTTTAAGCTGATGCAACAAATGAACGCTTGGGGATATGGATTTTAAATTGTTGCATTCCTTGATACGTAGGCAGTTGAGCTTGGACAAGTTCTGGACCCAGCTAGGAACTTCTTCAATAGCTGTTTTGTTTAGAATGAGAAGACGAATTTTATATGAGATCTTCGGAAAAAACCTCAACCTTGAGCATCCACCGAGATTGAGGCAGTCGAGGGATTCAAGGTTGACATCAGTTGGAAGAGCCTCCAGCTTTATGCAATCTTCCATGCTCAGATAAGTCAACTTATTGAGATTCTTGATAGAGGAAGAGGAAAGCTTCACCAAACTTGAGCAACCCCCTAGATTCATCCACTCGAGATTCCATGCGAAAGAAAGATCTGGGATTTCTTTTAGCTTTTCGGATCCCGACAAATCTATCTCCCTGAGGCATGTAAGCCGCTGAACGAAGGAGTAACAAGGAGAAAGTGTTAATAAAGATACAAAGTCGTTATTATTGGTTATAAAGTCGTTGGATACGAGACATTACCTGCACTCCTTCCCACAGTTTCTGACTCTTGAATTCTTTCATCATAAGAAATTTGAGATTCTCTAGACGCAGTTTAGCGGGGAACTCTTCAACCATTGATTGGCTTAGATCAAGCCTTGAAATGTTACTTGAGATATCAGGAAACTTTCTCAGCCGTGAGCATCCGCCGAGAACGAGCCTATCGAGAGATCTGAGGTTAATTCCCGATGGAAGGGACTTAAGCTCTGTGCACAAACGCATGTCCAACACCAAGAGTTTATGGAGATGCCTAATAGATGAAGTAATCACCACCAAACTCGAGCAACCTCTGAGCAACAATTTCTCAAGACTGGTGGCCATCGAGAGATCTGGGATTTCTTTCAGGTCTTTAGATCCCGACAAATCCATACGTTTGAGGCTCGTGAGGGGCTAAACAAAGAAACAAAGACAGAGCAAGTAATCAATATGTTGCACAACAACAAGAAAAGATTGTCATCCAAAGTGTAAAACTCACATGAACTCCTTCCCACAGCTTGTTGAGCTTGTTGTTCTGCATTTTTAGCTTAACCAGATGTTGAGGACAGAAGTTACAAGGCAGACATCTTAAAGGGTATCCTCTCCAGATTAGTATTTTGAGTTTAGGGGGTAAACAGTTGAATCCTTTCGGTATGTACCATCTGACTTTTGTATATGGTTTCTTGTTTATCTTTAGATAAAAAAGATTACGCATCTTTTCAAATGCTCTCTTATGTATGCGCAACTCATCAATCCCTGACATATCCAACGATATACCTAAGACCTTTTTAGTACCCTGAAAATATAAAAAATAGACAAAATCACTATCTTTTTACTAGTGACACGCTTTAATCATATGTACTCTGACTGATCAAATGAATACTTACCGTGTTATCCTCAAGTACATCGCAGATATCCTTTGGATCCAACAAAAATTCGCGTTCACCAGGTTCGTTAGATTGTGAAGAAACGATTTCTTTACCCATTTCTTGTACCAAACAGTGCATCCTCACAGTATCCCACCTTACTTGTATGAGGGATCTATCAACTAGGTTTTTAAGCCCTAAATTAACATCCAAATCACTATCCGCGAGGACATGTTTGACGTAATCGATCTCCGCACCATTGAAGAGACAAGCAAGGTGACGGAATATGGCTTTATCTTCTTTGCTACCTAACCCATCATAGCTGAGTCTCAAAGTCTTCTCAATGTTCCCATTAAGCCTACTACGAAGGCTAGGCAGCATTTCTATCCAATGTTCTTTGTTCCTCCCTCGCAAATACGAACCCAAGACGTTAAGACCCAAAGGAAGACTACCCGCACGATTTACTACTTCAGAAGCGAGTCCCAAGAAACCATCAAGTGGAGAATCTTGCCTGAAAGCATATCGACAAAACATCTGAAGAGCTTGCCTTTCAGATGGGAGATCAACCTTGTAGATACAATCAATCCCATGTGCTCTCAAAAGATGCCTATCTTTTGTTATCACAATGATTCTGCTCCCATGTCCAAACCATTGAGTTCGACCAGCCAAGGCATCGAGAACCACTTGATCATCTGAATCATCAAGAACTATAAGAAGTTTCAGGTGCTTCAGCCTCTCTCCCATTGCACCAATATGATCCATCTTTATGTCCCTTTTCCCGAAAATCTCAGACATAAAAGCTTTTTGAAAATGCAACTTCATGTTATAGTCATCCGCGTTGGCACTGAGGTAGTCTCTCCTACACTTAGATATGAAAGCACTGTCTATGAAGACACTAGCTTGGAAATGGCGAGAGAGACGACTAAACAGAGCTCTTGCAATGGTAGTCTTGCCGATTCCCGAGGAGCCCCAGATCCCAACCATCCTCACTTCCTCAGATTCCAAACGCAACAATGAACTCATCTCTTCTATACGATCTTCGATGCCAACAAAGTCCTTGAATCCCTCTGATGGAGTTAAATCAAGCTTAGCCAAAACATCATTGGCGATTTCTTCCATCATTTTTGCTTCATTATCCCTAACCATAGTAACAAAAAAGATCAAATACACAAGGAAGAAGCAATAACAAAGTATGAATAAATAAACCTACCAAATATTGCAAAAGACCGTACCAGTTCTATCATTTTCGATTCATTATCAATAAAAGAGCAATTTACTAGCGAGAAACAACAACAAAGCATGAATAAATCAACCAGATTTTGCAAAATACCGTACCAGTTCTATCATTTTCGATTCATTATCCCTAAGAATAGCCAAAAAGAGCAATTCAGAAGCAAGAAACAACAACCAAGTATCAACAATTCAGAAGATTAAAACCCTGTGCTCAGAGAGGGTAAATGATAAATCTCTAACGCGAAAGTTGAAAACTTCGAAGTTACATTCACTAGAGAAGAGTCATATATGTGAGAAACAGCAACTAAGTATGAATAAATCAACCAAATATTGCAAAAGACTGTACCAATTCTATCATTTTCTATTCAATATCCTTAACAATAGCAGAAAGGAGCAATCCACAAGCAAGAAACAACAACAAAGTATTGTTAAATCGATCAAATATTGCAAAAGACCGTACCAGTTCGAAGAATGAAATCCGAGCATATTACCTACATCGGTTAAAGCTCTCCTCCACAGAATTTGCTCATCCTCTGTTTTGCTCTGGCAAGTTTTCTCAAAGACGAATCCGAAATCGCCGTTCTGTTTCCGAACATGAGAAGGATCCAAACCGTAGAAAACCGGTATAACCAATAGACCGGTTTCTCCTTTGCAGTTAACAATCTCAAGCAGCTCATTCAAGCACCAGCTCGAAGATGCGTAGTTTCTGGAGAAGATAACGACGGCGATCCTCGAATCCCTAATCGCTCGTTTAAGCTCGGGATCTAGCGATTGGCTCCTCTCGATCTCGTTGTCCTTGAAAGTAATTATCAATTTCCGATCTAGCTCCTTGAGAAAGTGGCTGAGGAATGTTTGCCGGACATCTTCGCCGCTGAAGCTCGGGAACACGTCGTATAACCAATTACGAGAAGAGAAAGAAGAAGAGTGAGCCATGGAGAGATGCTTATGATGAAGAACAATGGCGCAATGGCCGATTTTCTGAGACTTATTAAAGAAGAAGTAAAGACTTCGTCGATTTCATTAGTATTTTCTGGGAATTTTCCGATGAAAAAATGCTGAATATGAAAAAATGCTGAATCTTCCTCTGTAGACTCTCTTGAGTTGTAATACAGGGCCCTATTTTAATTTTTTTTTTTTTAAGTATTATTTAGCTAGCAGCCATTTTTAATTAAAAACAATTAAAAAATAAAGGAATAAAAACTCTCCGATGTCAAAGTAATTTTTTGTTCTGGTTAGAAACTCTCCGATGTCAAACTGAGAAACAACTTTTTCAAAGATCTGCAAGCCTGAGAAAACAAATGAAGTCAAATCCCATTAAAGTGATAAAATGGAGTTTTCAGGACTGATGAAACAACTAATTAATTAAACTAATAATTGCTATTTGCCCCAAAAAAAAAAATACTTGATACGTTTCCTTTTCGAACAAGGAATAGGGTTTAGGTGTGGTTTATATAAGTTGTCGATACATTGCTTTGTACTTTGATTTATGTTGAGGGTTTCTTTCCTTCCAAGAGGAATACCACAATGACGAGGACGACAACGATCTCCAATCTTTCAAGGGATTTGTTAGAGGAGATAATCTCTAGGGTTCCGTTGAGATCAATGAGAGCGGTTCGATCAACTTGCAGAGAGTGGGACACTTTATCCAAAGGTCGGATCTTTACGGAGATGCACATTGGTAAAGCAACAGAAGCAAGGGAAGGCAAGTCTTGGATGATCTTGTTGATGGATCACAATCTTTATCTAATAGCCTCGCGTTGAACGTTGATGATCCATCTACAGAGCCTAAAGGTAAACGTATTAGTTGCCTCAAGGATTCGGATCAAGTCAAGATACATAGGGTCTTTGAATGCGAGGGTTTGTTGTTATGCATCTTGAAAAACGACACCACTAGGGTTGTGGTTTGGAATCCGTATTTGGGTCAAACAAGGTGGGTCGAAGCCTGCAGGATTACTTTCCGCTCCCAAGACTCCGTTATGTGGAGGCACACGTACGCTCTGGGAT